GATTAATATTCTGGACTGGATAATCATTCTGTATTTATTAGTTGTAGTTGTTTTTAAGATAGTGTTCAGTAGCTGTGAATACTCTAAGATCGGTACATGGAGTTTATTTTGAAATACTAGTAATTGCTGTTTTTGTGCTTCGTTTTAGTCGGACGAGTCAATCCCTTTCTTACTGTTTTAATTATGAGTAGACATGATCATTTGATAAACATACTTCTATGATCTCTATTGGCTTTAACTTTGACATTTATAAAAATTATGTAGCAAAGAGATGCATGCATAAAAATAAGTTCTCGACATAAATTGGCTAAAATATCAGATAAGAATTTAGCCTCAAGCTATAAAACTTACAAGCTATTATAAATACGACGAAAATTTAGCCTCAAGTTATAATATGATGATGATGATACTGATATATGTCTTACATCCAGCGACAAATATTACATATATATTAAGGATGATGAAATGATAGCGATTCGCTGGATCGAATTGTCCAACAAAATAATTGAACCCGTAATCGAGGCTGGCCTGCTACCAGTCAATTCCATATTTAATAAAAAAAACTGTTTATATATTTTATACTTTAAGTGCATATATAATTATTCTAGCAACACTTGTTTTGTTTTGATATTACTTTTTGTTGCATAATTTGTTTGAGTTTTCTCCTTGTTTCTTTGGTTCAAAAAGCTTAGTTTTTATTGTAAAATGGTGTTTCACAGCTTCCATTATCCTTGTGACTTGCTATTGTACTAATATCCAGTAGGCATGCAATTATTATTCTAAATAGTAAAAAATATTTTTTAACAAGTAAAGATTATCCCGTTTTGATCAAGACTTCCTTACCACTAGCATCTAAGATACATACACTGACAAAATATTGTACCTGCACTCATATTACAATCACCCTGTCTGTCCGTCCGCCAGTCTGTCCGTTCAACAAATATTTTCAATTTTCTCTTCAAAAGCATTAGTATGCTTAGCATGCATTCTTTTTTCGATTAATTCTTAACACTCCTGGGATCAAACTATCAAACAGAGTCCAAATGGTGTGAATTACGACTACAGTGGCTCGTGCTGTCGTCAACAATAAGCAAATACTCATACCGTATTATCAGATATACTATTATATAAGGAATTGACTTTGAAAAATGTAAACTTTTCAAACGAAAATAAACATTTTTACAAGAGTAAAATTAACACAAAAATGATAGAAAGTATTCAACGACATCCACTGAATTGAAAGCATCTGACTTGGGAAAGCCAATATAGAATTTGGCCTGATTAAACGCGTTTACCAGCGATCAACACTCTAGTGTAACAGCACAATATAAGAAAAAAAAACCTGTAAAATTCAGTTGGAAATAGCTCAACTAATCAATATTGAATTAAGCCCAAAACAATTACATTTTTATGATGAAAGACACAGAGTACCGATCTTAAAGTACTCCCAGGTACTGAAAGCTGATTCTTAAATGTTAAATTACCTGAGAATATTAAACGTATTTAGTTAAAAAAAACAACAACAAACAATAAGGAGATATGGTATGATTGCCAATAAGAAATGAAGTTGATGTAAGCAGTGATAGGCAACCGTACGGCCTTAATCAATGAGAAAAATCCATACCGTATAGTCGACTATAAAAGGAACCAACTTGAAAAATATGAAACAATTCAATTGAGAAAACTACCGGCCTGATTTAAAACAAAACAAGTTACGAAAAACAAATATAACAGATATGAACCAACGACAAAAAGTGAACCACAGGCTCCAGACATGGGACAGGCACATAAAGAATGAGTGCTCAACCTCCACCTCCTAAGTCTGGGACAGTGGTGCAACAGCGCGACATAAGAACAACCTGTTAAAACCTTCCTTGAGAGAGCTTGGTTTACACATATATACATATTCAAAGTAATTATTGATATACAATGTGTTTTCAGCCGTGTATCACCTTAAATGGTGATCCTATGCATGGATATGTCGAAGAGTTTAACTTTTATATACCTCTAATGCGAGACAAAAATTGATACTAAAAATTTTTTGCTTAACTCAATCAATATGTGATAGTTTTAGAATCCATTTCTAATTGGATTAGTAAGAGTTGTCTTAATACAAAAACAACATTGACAATATCAAGCCTTACTTTTTAAAAAGAAAATAACTGTAAAGACTGAAGTGGCAATATAGTTATCTTAAAAGTGTAACAAGTACATAAATTGACATTCTCGTCCACTTTTAATCAGAGATACCTGGGACAGGACATTTTTTAGCCAATTACTATGAACTATTAATTGATATTTTACTATCCACAGCGGTCAATGTTTATATGCAGATTAGTCATCAATTGCTAATCAAGTACACCTTCCAAATTACAATTTATATAACGAATTGGTGTACACATTTATTTACATATATCATTATTAATTACAAAATTCTTTTTTTTTAATGTTTGTTGACTTTTATTTGAAAGAAAAGTGTATGTCAACTATTAAAATTTAAAGAAGTACAAGACCTGTATTAATTATATTTAAATATACACATCCCTTTGTCGAACGTTTTCCCTTGGGGAAAAAATCGGAGATTGTAAATAAATAAGATTAACTGCGGAAGAAGAGATTGTTTGGAATGATGCTTAATAAAGTATGATGCAATCCCAGTTATCAACTTTAACAGAGACAAATTCTGACTAACACTTTGAATTCGATATTTCTGAAATTGCTAGAAAAATCTCTGTCATAAATACCCAAGGAAATTAAATATTATAAAACATTAAGAGACGAAAGGAAAAAGGGACACCAATCTGATAACGACAAATAAAAGCATGTCAAATATTAAATAATAAAAGGTTCATTTGCAAAGTATATCGAAAAACAAAGTCATGGTCAAAACCATGAAAGACAGCTCAAATCAATCGTATGATAGGTAAAGATACGTGTATATACGTGGTCTTATGACAGTGAAGTTTTGGCGGGAATCTCAATAATCACGTGATATATAAAAATCATGATTTCTTTCGTTTTTCATCATCTTAGAAATACTTGATATTGATAAAATTTATCCTGAATGGGTTTTATAGTTTATGAATAATTAGTTAAAACTTGAATGACGCATTTAACAAAATTAATAGGTTAGCAATAACCGGTCCCGTTACGTGCGTACGTCGAGTTAGGTACGTATGTCATTTTATTGGAAATCTCTACTATTCAATCATAGATAATTTAGTGTAACTAAGGGCATAACTCTTAAACGGTACATGTCATAACCATTAAAATCGAACATGACATGTATTGTATGGTCCATGACAAGTGTGTTTAAGTTTCAAAAGATTTGGTCAAGCTGTATTATCATTCTCATCCGGAACTGCAGAAAATCTCCGACTTTAAAGGAAAATAAGGCGCATAAATGAAAACAACACTTTTTAAATTTGATGCGTAATCTTGAACGGTACATGTCAAAACCATCAACTTCGATCTTTTATTTTATTCAATGGTCCATGAAAACATTTCTATATATTGGTCAAGGGGTAATTGCTTTATCTTTTGGACGTCGGAGGGAAAGGCGTGTGAATAACTATATATCCCCTCCTCATGTCTAATGTTTAGTTTCTTCTTTCTGTTTAACTTGACTTAAATTGTAAACTTTTATCCCATAAATTATATATTATTATTGCATCTTTTTTAGACCAGAAATATAACTTTTTACAATAAATTCTTTAAACTTGTAAGAAATATTCAATTTCAATTACAACGAGTTATATGACTATTCGGGGAGTCGAACAATGCGTGATACAGGACAAATTGCATATTCTCTTACTATGAATTGTCAAGTATTGAATATTGAAAACTATAGGGTATTGTACTCGAAGATATTTTGGTAGAATAAGTGTATATAAAAAAGGGAAGCAGATGTAAAGTAGGCAATAAAATAACACAAGATGGACAAAGATTAAAATAACTTTTATATATCAACCATTGGCATATCTAGTTTTGGTTATAATAGGAATTGTATTCCATAGACAATCCATTCAAAACGAAAAACAGGTGAAAACTATCAAATAAAGTCTTTAAGATTTGAACTTGAAATCCAAAGATGTAATTAAAGAATTGCAAACGACAACATGTGAATTCATACAAACCTAAAACAAATGAAAAAATACCACCTAAAGTCTTTTTAAAGATTTGAACTTGAAATTCAAAGATGTAATTTAAGGATTGCAAACGACTTCATATGAATTCATACAAACCTTCCCAAAGACTAAAATAAAATCTTCTCAGCAACTTCTTTCGTTTCTCTTTCATATGTAAATATATTCATTTTTGTAAAAAGATACTACCAAAACTAGAAGACCTGCTTCATTATTGGATCATTTGCTGGATATGACAAAGATGGGCGATTCCTTACTATGATCTATGACACGATTTCAATTTTCCTATTGTCAACTTCCTCCTTCTCAGTAGTAAGATAGCTTCTGCCCTATCAAAGGTCGTTTACATATCTAATTTGATACGTAACGGTTACTCGCATGTATGTTCACGGACTTAATTAACAGTAAGTGTATTACTGACGCAAGAAATACTCCAGCAGGGTTATAACGAAGAAAAACCGAAATCGACAGAATCATTTTTTGAAGAAAACACGAATTTGATTGCTCGAAACGATGTGAATGTATCTCAATTGAAAGTTCTGCTTAGAAAACATTTTTATATTAAGATCTGTGTTCAGAAGAGAAAATTAGAAAAAAGAGAAAGAAAAAAAAAAGAATTCTACAATGCTGCTAAAAAATATCTTATGAAGATATGTTCAAGGAAAATCTATTTGAATACTTTCGGTTCATTTTTCACCGACACAAAATACTTTCCTGAACTACTGGTATCTTATTTTCAGGGATATAAAAGTAGTTATTTGTTGATTTCTAAATATTTATAGAACACAAACGCGTCGTTAGTTTTACGGTATCAATTGGATAGCAATAATTTTTCGCATATTACATATGTTGCAGACCCAATCAAGAAGCGATTCAAAAAAGACCAGTCCACAAGATTCCCAAATACCTCCGATCACGCATTTAAAGGTAAGAACAATCAACCTAATACGCTTATCACAACAACTAATTTTCAATTTAAAAATCAGAAAAAAAAAGAAATTTGCTGCAAAAAAGGAAGGCTAAGTTTTCACATCATCGTTTATATTAGGCTAGGTCTATAATTGCAAATTAATAGCATAATCAGACAATCAAATTTAACCACGCTTGTGTGTGTGGCGTAAAGAAGAAAAAAATCTGAACAAGCAAAATTCAGGATGTATTCAAAAATTTTGGAAATTGGTTGGGAAGTGCCTGAAATTGAAAAAGGTAAGTTGGAAAAGTTCTGAATTATGAAGTCCCCGATAGAGGGTTGCTGCTTACAAGGAAAATATTGAAACCAGTGTTCAAATGGTAAAGTGGAAAACATTCATTGAAAGTTTTACGGAAGCTTTCGTGATTTGCTTATATGTAATTTTTGTGTCATAAACGGCTAAGGATAAGTTCCACTTGTCGAAACCAACATTAACTCCTCTTTTCCACGATTGTGAAATTACAGAAATTTTACTTGCCATGAGCACCACGATGAATTTTGTTCTATTTAATTACTTATTTTATGAAGACCTTTCTTTTCCCTCTTTTAGGAAAAAAAATTAGGGTCCCTTTTCCTACTAGGTTTAAAAGTAAAGATTACTGTATTTGTATGACTGACTTTTATATTCAAAATAACAACTTCAACCTTTAATAAGAATTGATATACATGCAGTATTTGGTTGTAATAATGATAGCGATTTCAAAATTTCGGAGTTTCCTTGAATTTTTTGTTAGACTTATAGTTATGAATGAAAGGAAATGTGAAATACGTCAATAAGACAGCTACCAAACGATACAAATACCCAAAAGAAATATAAAAAGCAATAAACAGTCTATAACAAAAGATTGGTGTAAAGACTATGTCAATCTCTTTATCGTCCAGAGATGAAAAATTGTCCATCAATAACAAAAACATTAACGATCTGCAATCAATCCAAATTGTCTAACTATATAAACAACAACATTAACGTGATATAAGAAAACCATTGCAAGGTTGCTGGTTTAGAACATGCACGTGAATATATGGTGGAGTTAAACTAGATATTGTAGATATCAACCGTTCCCCGTTCTAATCTCGATCAGTGGTCTAACAAAAGGTTCATAAAGGAACATTCAATAAAAAGCAGGACAGGAAAAGCCCTTTACATAAGAATAACGGTATAAAAGATAAAAATAACAAAATGAAAAAAAAAAAGAAAAAGAAACCAATTTAAGGATCTATTTGAAGTTATTTTTGTAATTGATTGGCCTGTTTTTCTTCGACTTCTTTGTTATTAATTGCCCTATTTGCAATTTCTTACTCTTATTGCGCTTACATAAGGTTGCGTCACTTTTAATTTTTTTATCGTTTACCTCTTACGAGTCTAATGAGGTGATGAATTCGTGACTTACAACAAGATCATAAAAGCTCCTAACACTGTCTGAGGTACCATTTCTTGATAATAAGGAACTACCGCTGCAGTATTCTTGAAGCATCATTTGTGGGAAATTTAAAAAAATACATGAATAAACAATGAAATCTTTTAAAAAATACTATCATTCATCTCCATACATTATTGTTATAAAAATAACAAAACCTAAAACAATGTTAAGCCAACACAAATACATGAGAGGGTGCGATAAAGGACTTATATCGGGTAAATTTTCATTGTCAAAAATTTTAAAATCATATTAAATATTTACAGTTCTGTCTGTGTTAAGGTTTTGCTTATAAAAACAGGTAGTTTTATTATCCATGACGTCACTACAAATATATTTGTGGCGTAAGGAAAAAGCCGCTTCTACGTTTTCTTTAAAAATGCATAGATTTTGGTTAAATTTCAAATAGTTGTTGGACTGCTTATAAAGAGGACATGCATGTACTAACTACAATATTTTCAACGATGCTTGTCATAAAGAACAACACAACTTATGTAAATATTTTAATGGAACTTGCATGTGCTCGATATTTCCCACTTCCAAATATGTGTCAAAATATATATTATAAGTTATCTACGTTCATATCCGTAGATAAGGATGTTTTAACACCCTGAGGTCAAGCCGAAGGGTAAACAGGTTACTGAAGGGTGTTAAAATATCCATATCTAGGGATATGAACGTAGATAACGAATGTGTCCCCGGTCTTAGTCCGAATCTGGCGATTTTTAGGGAAATTCGACCACACAAAGTGTAACGTGAAAGCAAAGTTTTTTCATTATGTAAAATTTTTTATTGAAATTTGGGAATTTGACATATTTTTTAGTGGGTGTAGGGTACTACCTGTGGTAGAACCGTACAGGTAGTTAAATATATGACGTTTTCAATCCAGAGACAGAGAAACTGGAATGAGTCTAATTTGGCGCTCAATGTTGTGAGAGGTACGCCATAGACGGTGTGACGTCAATATGGGTCATTTGCATAGCTTGGTCAGTAGTCCCATTCATTGAAAATATGGCAGCCAAGTGATGCATTTACTTAAATAAGTGCAAATGATCGGCATAATAGGATAAAGTCGTTAATGGATTAAATATTTAATTACAGACATCATGGATAATCTACAGAATTCAATATTTCACAAGGAACAACCATGGAACTAAGGAAAACGCGCGTGAAGTTCCCCGGGGTAATGGGTAACAACGTCCGGGTATATGGGTTAGAAACACCCGGGGCTATGGGTTTTTTAACAACGTGCGTTAACCAATCAAAATACTAGAAATATACTAAGCCGTGGATAAGTTTTGTTATTTTTTTGTAGACGAAAATGAATTTATGCCATCTTTCGACAGTTCAATCTCCATAAATAGCCATATCTTTTTAATGATACTAATCAATTATGTTTGCGAAAAAATCCCCTGATTTTGTAAAACTTAGATATTAATGTCTAATATGGCACACCTCCTTTGTTAGAACACTTACTATGTTATTATTTTTTCAGAGGATATTGGTGAAATCAAGGCTAAAAATGTTAGACGAAAGAAACAGTGCGGCAGATTCAAAAATAGAAAAAGAGGTATCCTTTAAACTAATTCCATTAAGGTTATAATTATCCTCCTGTTCATTAGAAAACTCGAAGAGCTGCAGTGATTAGTAAACATAAAGAAACCGATCTTGTAAATTGGTCCGATATCTTCTCTGTCAGTATAGTACTTGTGAACGAAGAATGATGGTAAATGTTGTAAAAGACAACAAAGAATGTAAAACTAGCAAGAAATAAAAAGATGAGCCCCCAAAACCATAAAAAAACCCCTAATAACACAAAAAAATAATATGCACACACACATACACAAAAAAGTCACTAAAGATACCAGGCGTATAATTCAGCAATTCATTACCTCAGACGCACATACAGTAGTGTTCAAAACCAAACAGACACATGGAAAACGTATTAAGAATTTAAAGAGCGCCTGAAACCAAAGGTTCCAAAAGGTTATGCTAAATCGAATTATGGAAATCTATGCCTAGGTGGAAATCAACTTAACTGTTTGGAACAATTTCAACATTTTAAGAAGAATAAATTAACTGACAATTACCAAATCAATGATGGCACAGCAGAGGTATCCTTCTTTTGTTCTAAGCTTTGGTATTAAAGATTACTTGAGTATAACATTTCGATCGATACATATTATAAAGTTTTTATTTGATAACTGGTTCACTAAGTGAGTGTTTGGACTTCTCGAATGGTTTTATTTCCATAGTCGACATTTGCTATTTAAGGCAATATGAAATTTATTTCATAAATTCTAATATGAAAATAGAAAAATGTGGTATAACTGCCAATGAGACAAATGTCCACTAAAGACCAATTGGAAAACAAGTGAACAACTAAAGGTCATTGCGCATAAAAACCCATACCGCATAGTCAGCTATAAAAGACCCCAAAATGACAAATGTAAAACAATTCAAATAAGAAAACTAACGGCCTGATTTATGAACAAAACAATGAATGAAAAACAAACATGATGTACAGCAACAAACGACAAGCAATTAATTACAGGCTCCTGACTTGCGAAAGGCACAAACATAATGTGGCGGGGTTGAACTTTAAGTTTGTTAGCGCCAAACCCTCCCTCTAACCTGGGACAGTGGTGTAACAGTACAACATAAGAACAAACTATAAAAATCAGTTGAAATGGCTTTACTCATCAAATCGATACAAAACAAAAACACAAACCGGACTTGACAGGGAATTTATACATCCCCACAACATAAAAGACACAGATCTGAGAGTACTCGCAGTTACTGACAGCTAGTTCAAAGCCAATTACAACTAATTAAAAAATCATGTATCTAAAACTAAATCTTTTTTTGAAGTAAGAATAACAAATAACAAATACCGGTATCACAAATTTCATGCGGCTGAAGCGCTTTTCTGGGTTCACCTTCACCAGGAACGCTAAAATACGAAGCAAAAGGAGAAAATAAGGTCAAAATATACAGACAATTTTCTAGAAGAACGATTTTCTAGATATCATAAAAGGGATTATTTGCTTTCAGTAACTGAAGTTTTAAGCGGTGTCATTTTTTAATACAATTTCTTTTGTTGCCTTTTTCCGACATGACTTACTTGTAGTTGATTTCCAGTACAGGATCACTAAGGTTCACTCCATCAATCGATTTACCATTGTGATATTTTTCAGCTTTTTTGTTCTTCTTTTGATTTAAATAAAATATTTATTTCTTCCCCGTCACATATAAATTATGTCGTAAGTCTGAGTCCTTGAAATGGATTACCTCATAGGATTTTGTATACATTAAGGAGTTTGATGGCGATGTCCGAATGCGAGAAGCATGTGCTCAATTCATTCAACTATCAGGACTCCTTTATATATCAAAGAGGCAATCATTTTTTTCTTTTTTCTGGTATGGTTCACACTTATCAATCGATAGGAATAAGAACACTATTTATTGTAAAAATTTATTTGCAAATAATTAGCAATATGATAAAATTTCATCTCTTTTAGGTCGCTAGAGGAGCAGGAACTGCTTAGGTTTACCTTGCCGGAGCACCTTAGTTAAAACAAATCCACTTGGATTATTTTTAAAGATCATGCTACTCAATCTTTACTTCTCTATCAAGTCTCTTTTACTGATGTTTGTCTTTAAGCCTTTTTACTTTGGTCATGGTGTTTTCTTGACATATAATCGGGATCACCTTTTTGTTCTCGTTTATTTATTCTTGTGGTGACTTCATAATTTAAATCAAGAGGGGATTTCATACTTTGTAAAACAATGTAAATTTGGCATATTGTGGCTTCGTTTTAGGTGAATTTTCGTGGAAGTAATGGTTATTATAGCTGTGGAGAGGATGGATGTAAAGTAAAACACCAAATAAGACGAGGTCCATTTGGTTGTAATAGAAGAACAGGTTGCGGCGGGTAAAATGTTGAATCCTAGTAGACGAAAAAGAAAAGATTTTTGATACAACATTTATTAAATTACGAGACTTACATATGAGTTATTCACAAAACTATGAATTGACATTACTGCACACAAGTTATGATTTATGAAGATTTGTGCAAACTTATCCTTACCTTGTAAAGTCAATCTTTTATCCCAATAAATTAATTAGAAAAAAACATTTTTTTAGCGTTACTAATATTGTCTTGTCAATTATAAACATATGCATGAAAAATATACATTTGTTGTACATGTACTAATTTTATCAGAATAAAAACAAAGAATTTTACCGTTCCGTGATATTGCTTAATTTCAAATTTCAAGTATTATAATATACGATTAATGTGTAATGGTTGCACTGGCACCATTCCAAAAATATAACATAAAAAAAACAATAACGACACAACACACATTTTCAGGGTTAATATAGTATAACGATTTTCAACAAAGGATAATAACATAAAATAAGGAAAATAGTAAGACCAAAACAATTGGACAGTACAACTGACAACACCAACCACAAACATGACCTTTGAAAAAAGAACTACATGTACAAACAAACAAAACCACCAATGAATAACAAATGGTCAAGGCAACGTTACTTAATTGGTACATGATATGGTGATTTTAAACCAATATGCACACATGTATGATATGTAAAGCTCTAAATGGCGTTGGGTCTACACAGTTGTGAATTTGTAAGAGACCATTTAAGACCATCAACACAACATTTCAAAATATTTCTTCTTGGGAAATTAATTTCTTTACCGAGGATTTTTTCTTTATCTCTACACTCAATGAACATAGGTTTGGGATCCCGCTAACATGTTTAACCCAGCCACATTCTGTATGTATGTGCCTGTCCCAAGTCAGAAGCCTGTAATTCAGTGGTTGTCGTTTGTTTATTGTTACATATTTGTTTTTCGTTCATTTTTTGTACATAATTATGCCGTTAGTTTTCTCGTTTGAATTGTTTTGACAATTTTTTGTCATTTCGGGGCCTTTTATAGCTGACTGTGCGGTATGGGCTTTGCTCATTGTTGAAGGCCGTACGGTGACCTATAGTTGGTAAATTCTGTGTCATTTGGTCTCTTGTGGAGAGTTGTCTCATTGGCAATCATACCACATCTTCTTTTATATATATATATGTACTAAAGAAGCATTACCGGAAACAGAAATAAAAGATTTGCAGAAATTTTAGACAAAAGTGCAATGTATTGCCTTGTTTTGAAAATAAATAAAACAACATTCAAGGCAAATATCATTAAGTCGCCGTTTGAATTCTATACTTCATATTACAATTTAAAAAGAATCTTAATGCAATACAAGTTCAAAAACGGAGTTTAATTAAAAATAATATATTTTTGCACACGTTTCAACATTATGTATAGACAGCTGCTTTATTGTCATAGGTGTTCCATTCGTAACTAATCTTTGGCCTAGGTATTCGGACAGGCGTCATGTCTATCAGCCTATGTATTCGGACAGGTCTCATTTCCATCAGCATTTGTGATTCCTCTCGAACTTCTAAAAATAAAATGAAAAGGGTATAACGAAACCAATCCTGTAAAATTGATACTCGGAGTCTCCTGTGTTATTCTGGTAACGTGCACAGTATGAGTTTTTCTTATTGTAGATACAATAACCATAAATACCAGCATTGAAATTGTGTACGCCAGACGCGCGTTTCGTCTTCAAAAGACTCATCAGTGACGCTCGAATCAAAATAAGTTAAAAATGCCAAAACAAAGTTCGAAACAGATATACAATTGCTTATATCTTCGTCATTTGTACTGTGGTGAATAGTTGCCTCATTTGCAATCAAAACACATCTCCTTATTTTTATACCATACACTTCAATTTCGCAATCATTCTGAATGAGCATGAAATTTTGCAATTTGACGTACAGCAAGAAAAATCAATCAATTAATTTACCTGATGAGGGTATGATTTTACTCTTTATACTGCTATGTTATAGTATCTCTCTACATCCTTATTTTTAATTGAAAAGTGAGGCAGAATCCAAAAACCAACGAGTTCATTTGTAAATAAAATGTATAACAAAGGATACATACAAATTTGCGAAAGTTAAGGCATATTCAAGGCAGTTTGAAATATGCTGAATATCAAAACAATTATTGATTAAAGTCGTACATTTTCAGAGTTCTTAATATGATATTTTTATGTGATGAGTGGTGGAAATCGTTACTTTTTGAAATGGTGAGTCCAAGATGAATCGGACGAGACCATAGTACCGTTATGCACTATGATCGTTTTATTCCATGATTTTGTTTACTTTTAAAATTGCGGAGTCGATTATTGATCTTTTTACATAAAATTCGACAAATGCAAATTTTTGAAATTACCATATCATACATTGTTAATTAACACTTACCAAGGTTTTCCTTTGGCTTTTGTTTGGTCATATGTTTCCGTATAAGGAGTATAGTGGTTACTATAATTATTAATCCAAAAACTGCTGAACTAGCACTTATAACAGATATCCAAAGTGTTGACAGTGTTGATGAATCGCTTTCTGTTGCATCTAAATGAAAGATTTAATATTAACTTATTCCCTGTTCATGATTGGAAGTTCTGTGAACTTAGACGATTAAGATAGTTAAATTAGTTTTACCACTTTTGTTAATATTCTTCAATTCTATCATGTACCCTAAGTTCCTAAATTTGCACGTGTATTTTGGTTTCAATCAACCTTGTATTTTGACCAAATCATACTGTCATCGAATAATATTGAGATGTCCCTAATTTGGACAGGATAAAATCCATGAAGCCAAATAGGCCAATCCCCTTCTGTATAAATAAAAAAAGGAATATATTTAACCAATGTCGATATCGAAAAAAAAAGATAACTGGGTAGCAAACGAAAAGTTTGACTTCAACATTATTTTTATTTAAAATCTCGTATAAATACCTGGAAATAATAAATCAGTGGTAAAAGGAGGCTGATTATACAGTTATGTTGTGTAAGATTCTATTCATGAAATTTCAAAAAAAAAAAAAATAGCTGTGGTTTCTTTGAATTTTTGAAATAGTAAGGCTTTTCTATCTAAAGAATAGATTACCTTAGCTGTATTTGGCAAAACTTTTAGGAACTTTTGGTAATCAATGCTCTTCAACTTCGTACTTTATTTGGCCTTTTTTAAATTTTTTTTTTTATTCAAGATTCACTGATGAGTCTTTTGTAGACGAAACTTGCGTCTGGCGCAAATACAAAATTTCAATCCTGGTATCTATGATGAGTTTATTTCTACAAGATGACCCGTTTTGGACTTATTCTATAATGTAAATTAATGCGACGGTAGTTTAACGGTGTTCATATGGTAAAGAAAACAGTGATTTTATAAGTTAAATGTTAAATATTTCTTTGATACAACATTTGAAAGTACGAAATAAAGAACGCAGGAAAAACCAAAATATTAACAAAACATCGAATTATTTTTATCGTTGACTGTTTGCACTTCGTGTGGATTCCAAAGGGCAGTTACTAATGTGTGGTTAACACAAACACATTTTATTAAATCTTTGAAGTCTTTACTGCAATTTCAATTTATTCTATACCTAATTTCATCCCAATAAGCAGAGAACAATTTATTGGTCATTGCGTAGTTTGATGAAAAATTAAAGTTTTACTGTGACTTGACTGTAAGTGTTGCTCTCCACCTATTGCAATGTATTCAAAATTCTGATCAAACTGCCAATTCGATTTATAAAACCAAACTGTTCAATTGGTCAGAAATTTGAACAAACTGCTGTAGAAAACCACAGTCAAGTCGTGAAAGTGCAAGGGGGTGAAATGAAGCATACTTACAATCCTATAAGACTTTAACTCCACTTCATTGATATTATGAAAAATCAGTTAAACAATTTCTATACAAATTTTATTGTAATTGTCAAGCTAAAGGTGATAGGTAGAAATTTTGAATTGCTATAAAAATGTCCAAATTAAGCTTTCATACATTTTTTCTTTCGAAAAGTCTTCTATATTCATAAGAATCAGACATGATTTGAATTAAAACATCTTATATTCAGTAAAATAAATGTGAAATTACTATATGCTGTTAATAAGTTTCCATGGGAGATAACCTACAATCAATATTCTTTTGCATATAGAAGACTTTTTGAAAGAAAAAATGATTATCTCCCATGTAAACTTCCTAACAACGTATTGTAATTTCACATACATTTCACAGAATATAAGATGTTTTAATTCAAATGATGTCTGATTATTATGAATATAGAAGACTTTTCAAAAGAAAAATTGTATGAAAGCTTAGTTTGGACATTTTTATAGCAATTCAAAATTACTACCTATCACCTTCAGCATGACAATAACAATAAAATTTGTATTAAAACTGTTAGACTGAATTTTTCAAAATATCATTGAAGTGGAATTAAAGTCTTATAGGATTGTAAGTATGCCCTATTTTATCACCTTGCACTTTCACGTTTTGACTGTGGTTTTTGTGCAGCAGTTTGTTTAAATTTCTGACCAGTTGAACAGTTTGGTTTTATAAAACAAATTGCAATTTGGTCAGAATTTTGAATATTTTGAATTTGTTGTGTGTTACATTTTAATGTTGTGTTTTTGTTGTGTCGTTGTTCTCCTCTTATATTTGATGCGTTTCCCTCAGTTTTAGTTTGTACCCCGGATTTGTTTTTATCTCTATCGATTTATGAGTTTCGAACAGCGGTATACTACTGTTGCCTTTATTTTGCAATAGTTGGAGAGCAACACTGAAGTCACAGTAACACAGTACGACTTTTACATATTCTTTTATAAACAATTTCACATAATATATTGAGAAGTCTTACCAATCACACTGAAAGACAAAACTCTAACAACTTTATTTCCGATCTTTAAAGTAGGTTTTTGTTTTGTCGCTTCCAATACTTTCTTGATATCTTCTTTGGATTCTGTGCTAGTTATAACGTCATGATTAGCAATAAGACTGCCTTTTCTGTTAAATATTTTGTTAAAATTGAATTATTTGTGACAAACAACTGAGATTTCTGAAATAATACCACAGAAAACATGTCGCTATCATGTATATATATCTTTTCGTAAAAGTTACCCATTTGTTGTCATAATATCAACTATATTTTAACTTATTTGTTACATCACTGTAAATTGACATATCAGTATATGAGTAACAGGGTACAATCATCCAGTGAAGCATTAACTGGTCAACCTTGTATACTGTAGCATTAATATTAAATTTCGCACTCAATTTTGTCCTTTAACTGAAAAAGGTCTGATATTTTTTAATATTTCTTACGCCTTTAAATATTACTGTGCACGTTTTTTTACGGATTTATTCTCTAAATAAATGTTATATTCTTAATATGACTGTTTGTAAGTAATTAAATATCTTTTTCTTTGTGTGAATGCTGTATTATCTGCATATTTCTTCAGTACAATTTTGCTCATCATTGCCAATGGTGAAGTCATTCATAAACTGACAAGTAAGAACTGTTTCATAATTATTTCTAGGAGTCAAATGGTTTAAAAATAGGCTTTTTCGTGTCCATTTTGCTGAACCAATATACGTTATTGATTAGGGGCCAGCTTAAGCCCACCTCCGGGTGCGGGATTTTCTCGCTGCGTTGAAAACTATTTGGTAGCCTTGGGCTGTTTTCTGCTCTTTGGTCGGGTTGTTGTCTCTTTGAAACATTCCCCGTTTCCATTCTCTATTCTATTTCAATTTGAAAATCATATGCTGTTGTCAAATTACAAATTCGTCGATATTTTCCAATTGTCGTAACCACAATTCCGTCCTCGTTTCCTCGAATATGACCTACCGTTTTAGACTTGTCACCCGGTGTGGACGTACATGAGCATCACGAGGGGTGCCTCATGCAAAGCAGGGAATACTAATCCTTATGGACCACCTGAGTTATTGTGCTAAAGTAAGAGCCAATTCTTAAAGTTAAAATGAACGAAATTCCTCTCAATTGATGGACAAATCTGATGAATTACTTACGCAATTGAGTACAACGTAATATTTTTGAAAACCTTCTTGATAGCTGAATTAGAATAATAATTGAACAACTGAAAAAGAAGAAAGTGTTTGCTTTTAGTATCTATCTTCAAATTGAATAAACATTCTTTTTGTATTTTCTTATAAATATAAAACCATAAATCCTAAAGATGAAGTATCTTTTATATTAAAGGAACGCCAAAATTATCTTTTTTTCTCTTTCACGAAAACGAGGAGCTTAGATAATATCTTTTGACCTATACGATCAGCCTTCACCTAACTGAGATGGAAACGCCTCTTTTTAAAAACAAGACACCTTTTGAATTTTAGATCTAAAGGTCAGTACCTATAAAAAGTGGAATTTCTGGAAAGTTTCGTTTCCGGACAATATTTTTGAGTTGTTTGTCAGATTTTCACCAACATTTGGCTGAAAATGTTCCTTGGTTTAAAAAAAAAACCCTTTCCGATTTTGAGAACACAAGTCATGGAAACTAATTGACAGATGTATAATCTGAGTGTTGGATTGTTTTTTTTTTAGAAAATATCTGCTAGCAATTACCATAATCACAGTAGGTAAAGTGTCCGGTCGGAATCGTGTTTATATTGAGTGAATTGCTCGGGATTTCTTTTCCGATTGTGACCGTTTTTTTAGCTTGATCATGATGTTATTTGTAAACAAACAGATTGTTCTTCTCGACAGAAATAAATAAAGGCAACAGCAGTATACCGCTGTTCGCACAAACAAACGCTGGAAACTGATATTTATGGTTAGATAGTATTTGCGATAGAAATTAATTATCAATTGTACATCATTTGGAGTTATAAAAGTTGAATATATGCTTGAAAGGCTTTCATTCTATGATATAAGATAAAGCCCTTTTTATGTACACATGAATGTAAAATTCAAAGGAAAAGCATTCAAACAATTTATATTACATTGTTTTACAGACACTTACAAAAATACGTAATTGTACATTTGGAAAACAATTTAGTTTATATGTCCGATTTTTTTCGAGAACATTCCTGGTTTTTTATGTAACGTCCAGGTTTTATCGAGAAAAGACAAATACTCCTATTGGTTAAAATTTGATCTATAATTGCATTCAAGTAAGAAAGAAAATTAAAAAATATGAATGAAATACAAAACACTAAGAAGTCAGTTTTAAAGGCCCCTTATGCCTTTATCTTTGTCATGTTTTCTTTCAAAAACCCAGGCAGTTTTGAGTAAACCAGATCGTTTCAATAGTAATTGTGACATGTTGGTAAATCAGAGAAAACACTAGAAACAATCTGAAAGTAAGCACCATTATAATGACTTTTACCAAGTTTGGTGTATATATATGCTTTTGGTTTCAGAAAAGATTTTTTGTTAAAAGGTTTAATGATCAACGACAACAGACGACAATAGATCATATCGTTACTTTGGACATGCGTGCTAAATATATCTATATATATATATATATATACAACTCGTCTAAACATCAGCCCAACAATGTTAGATCTGTAAATTTGCTTTCGCAAATTTTTGTTCTTCCCTCGCCGGGATTCGAACTCATGCTACTGAGACATGACATCAAATCGCCTACACTGTATCCGACGCACTAGACTAGGCTTCTCAATAATAAAGCTTTCGGTGGCCGGGTGTTACCTTTCCTCGTCAGTTTTAATCTAGCGTCGTAATACAGTACATGATATATAAGGCATGAAGATGGAATTGTTACAGATCAGCTGAAATATCTATTGTAAAGGATCCTACATATATAAATATATATACATATATCATGAATAACTTTACCCCAGTGAAAGTATCGCGGAACAGCTGTTTGTATTTTGCGGTTGTAGTATTTGTCAAATCCACTGTGACTTTGTAATTAAGGCGCAAATAAATTCTCTCTGTAAACTTCTTTTCCTCTCCTATCAAATGAAAATATAAACCGAAATAGTGTTTGGTCTCAATTGCGGCGTTATGAATTTCTTATCCTAAAAAAAACTTAGAAAAACTAAAGTTAATTTGAAACTTGTTTTCAACTTGGCCAAGAACTTGATTAATTTATTAGTATTATTTACTTGTGAAATTCGTGATTTATCTTCAATGGGCCTATAAAGAGACCTTCAATCCACCATTTTCTACATGAGAAAATGCCTGTACCAAGTAAGGAATATGTCAGTTGTTGTCCATTCGTTTGATGTGTTTGTGCTTTTGATTTTGCCATTTGATTACGGACTTTCCGTTTTGATTTTTTTCAGTATTTTTGTGATTTAACTTTTTAACATATCATATACTTAGTTTCTTGAGAGAAAAAAATAAGAAAATAAAGATTTTTAATGTCCCCGACCTGCATTCATCATTATATTATCAACAAGCAAAATATTGCCCTTTTAAGATGCAGCTATACATGACTTATGTACACCCATATTTCAAAAACAGAAAATGCATAAAAAAAGAGCTGATTTACCAAAAAATAAGGTATAATTAACTGAAAAGTGAAGGTGACATGTGTGTTATAAATATACACGATACACAGTCTTGGATATAGACCAACATGCCAAATTTTATACATCTTCGTCAAACGAAAAAAAAAAATCCTTGCCAAGACAAGCCTTCGTACCTTAAATATTAAGATCAAAGATTATTAAATGTGATACAGCTGCACGTCATAAACAACTATATAAATCTGCATCAAAAGAAGACATGACAAATTTCTGGGCCAAATATAGCCATAAGAAAAACAAATGCAATAACGCGAGGTAAAATGCATGTCATACGTCAATAACACGGTATCAGAATTCTGTGCATATTTGTAATATGTGTAAATGTGGTATTTCAGGATAATATAATAGAACTTTTCATCATAAAAATAATACAATGTCGAATTTAATATTTTATATATCTTCTATTGATACTTGTTAATACCTTTTGTAGAAGAAACAATTGTAGCTGTTTGTGTTGTAAAGACAGCTGCACTCTTAGTTGCTGATGAGGCAATACTTTCTACATGACTTATACTCCCAGTTGATGTCACTGAATCTAAAATAGATTGATCTATATATCTAAGATAAAAGATTTGGTTATAAAATGTAATGTTTATATTTTATAATTGTAAATTTACAATTAACGGTAACGAAGGATGTTTTGTATATATCGCAATTATATGAAAGATACATCAGTTCGACATTTTGATATAATTTTATACGACAAACCCCCGAGTGTATTTTTAATATTCATCGCAATTATTCATATACCGTAAACAAGTAAAGATGAACTACTTACATCCTTTTTAATAAGATTCTTCATGTTTTTGAAAAAGGTTCCTTAAAAACGAATGCTATGCTCGTCCCTTACTTTTTTCTAAAACAAACAGATGCCACAGGAGTGAGGAATCTAGTTACAAAAATCACCGCCCTTGCAAACAGTGACAAATTTGGTACACTTAATAGTTTTCGGAACGTGCCAACCTCAATATATTTTTCGACATGCTGTATACTACACAAAATTACGATAATATATATATGTGATGCTTAACCCTTAAGCTCAAGGAAAACTGTCTAGTCACTAGGCGAATTCTAATGGACTTGATTGAGAAAAAAAAAACATTTAACGCGACTACATAAAGAAGACCGCATATATTTGCAACGAAGGAAGTCGACCTAATCTAATAAATGTTAAAAACAATTGATGTCTTCTAATAAATTATCGTGTTTTGTCAAGATATTTTCCTTTAAATTTTAAACATGACAAGACGTAACAATTTATTATGATAGCACAAAAATAAGTAAATATGCATCATACACTGATGCGAGAAAATCAGCTCCTGGTATTTTGAAAAAATCCGGACAAGTGTTTGATTTCAAAATGATGGAAGAATGTTAACAGTATATGTCTCGGCCATTTATTTCTTTAAAGTAATATCATTTCAAGATTCGATACAGTTTAAAATGTTTATTCAACATAAAGGCCTATACATTGCCATGGAACACTTTATCCAGTACGTTCACGACATAACTTAATGTTTGAATATACATAAAAGTATGTAGAAGAAGAAACCAAGGGATCATTAAAAGTAGAGCTAAAACCGGTCCCAGGTCAATCGACCCTGAAAAAATTGATGCCATGATATATGAACACTTCTGTAATCTGTAACGTGCCTTCGACATTCTTCAATAACTATCAGGTACACTCCAGATATAAAATCCGGATATATACAATGGAGCACAAAAAAAAAAACAGCAAATGTGCATCAGGTATTAGTTGTCTTCGGAGAGTCTAGATATTGTTTTTTTAATGGCATAATTTTCGAATCTTAACATTTTGAAAACAATTATCTTTTGAATCATACATGTTCAGAAGCTCTATTTACTGAAAGATATATGACCGATTTTCCAAGTATCAGTTATTTTACTAACGGGGTGACAGGGTGACAAATTTCTTGGACATATATAGCTATGTTAGAAATTAAATCAAGAGCATGTCATACTTCAATAAAGCGGTAGCATAATTCCATGGATATATGTCATATGAGTAAATGTAGTATTTAAAGATAATGTAAGATAATTATAATCAGTAAAGTAATATAATATCGAATTTGATTTTTGAAATATCTTATATTAATACTTGTCCATACCTTTTGTAGAAGGAACGATTGTAGCTGTTTCTGTTATAAAGACACCTGCACTGTTAGTATTAGATGAGGCATTACCTTTTCCGGTACTTAAACTCCCAGTCGATGTCACTGAATTTAAAAAAAAAAAGATTGGTTGATCAATCTAAAATAGAGGGTTTAATTATAAAATGCAATATTGGTTTTCATACATCACAATTACTTTACCTGCGAGATCAAATGATTTTTATGGATTAAATGCATTTAACTAAAGCATAAAACACTCTAAAATATGGTTATAAAATCAAAACCCTTCCTTTACGGATGTAAAGGTCTATAGAAGTTTCTGTTATGACAAATGGGATTTTCTTATAATAATTCCCTTACGTATAATAGACAAACAATCCACCATTTTAAATATAATAATACTTAGATTTGGATACACCTTTGTTTCAATATCAAAAAGTAAACGTTAAAAGCAAAATGCTTTTTGGGTAAATTGAGGAAATATTTCAAGGGTGCTTTTGGATTATAACGATTCATGACAAACTGTCTTACGCGCATAGACACACCTGCAAATATGATAAATCTACGCCAAAAGGCTAATCATGTTTTGTCTCAGACAAACATACTGAACAGCGCAATCTATGATTTAAAATTCGCATCAATGGTCAACGTTATATGTATGTAGAGAAGATATGAAAACATAAGGTACAGGGATATGACAATATCAAAAAAATATAGTTGTTTTAAAACAACAAGAACATTCACGGAAAATGTTTGTCTCCTTCAAAGGATTCTTTCCATATGCGAGAATGTAATTTTAAAGTTTCAGTGTACGCTTTCATCAGAATAATTCGATAAATTTGATATAATTTCATATGAAAAAAAACACGAATTCATCTTTGATATTCATAGCAATTATTCATATACTGTAAACAAGTAAAAATGTCTTGTCCAATATATTACTTACATCCGCTTCAATAAGCATATTTAGGTTTTTTAAAGAATGTTCCTTAATAACGGATGCAATGCTCGTCCCTTACTATTTTGTAAAACAAACAGATGCCACGGAAGTGGCCATTCTAGCCATAATATATGTACAGTTATGTTATTTGTAAATTGAAAACTGAGATGTGTTTGTCTTTGACATTCTACAGTAAATATCAGGTACACTCCAGATACATAATCCGAATATATAAAATTGAGCACAAATACAGCCAAATGTGCTTCAAACACTAATTGTCTTGGGAGAGTCGTAATATTGTTTTTTGTTTAAATGGCATATTTTTCAAAAATAAAATCATCTTTTGATTCATACATCATTATATAGCTATGTTAGAAACTACATCAATACATCAAGAACTACGGATAAAAAGCATGTCATTCTTCAAAAATAGATCGGTAGCATAATTCCATGGATATATGTAATATGTGAAAATGTAGTATTTAAAGATAATGTAAGATAATTATAATCAGTAAAGTAATATAATATCGAATTTGATTTTTAGAATATCTTATATTGATACTTGTTCATACCTTTTGTAGAAGGAACGATTGTAGCTGTTTCTGTTATAAAGACACCTGCACTGTTAGTCTTAGATGAGGCATTACCTTTTCCGGTACTTAAACTCCCAGTCGATGTCACTGAATTTAAAAAAAAAACGATTGGTTGATAAATCTAAAATAAAGGGTTCAGTTATAAAATGCAATATTTGTTTTCATACATCACAATTACTTTACCTGCGAGACCAAAGGTTTTTATGGATTAAATGCAATTATCTAAAGCATAAAACACTCGAAAATATGGTTATAAAATCAAAACCCTTCCTTTACGGTTGTAAAGGTCTATAGAAGCTTCTGTTATGACGAATGGTTTTTTCTTACAACAATTCTCTCACGTATAATAGACAAACAATCCACCATTTTGAGATATAACAATGCTTAGATTTGGATACACCTTCGTCTCAATTTCAGAAAGTAAACGTTAAAAGACCCCAATAGCAAAATGCTTTTTGAGTAAATTGAGGACATATTTCAAGGGTGCTTTTGGATTATAACGATTCATGACAAACTGTCTTACGCACATAGGCACACCTGCAAATATGATAAATCTACGTCAAAAGGCTAATCATGTTTTGTCTCAGACAACCATACTAAAAAGCGCAATCTATGATTTGAAATTCGCATCAATGGTCAACGTTATATGTATGTCGAGGAGATATGAAAACATAAAGTACAGGGATATGACAATATCAAAAAGATTTAATTGTTTTAAAACAACAAGAACATTCACAGAAAATGTTTGTCTCCTTCAAAGGATGCTTTGCATATGCAAGAATGTGGTTTTAAAGTTTCAGAGTATGCTTTCAACGGAATAATTCGATAAATTTGATATATTCATTTTTGATATTCATCGCAATTATTCATATACCGTAAACAAGTAAAGATGTCTTGTCAAATGTATTACTTACATCCGCCTAATAAGCATCTTAGAGTTTTTTGAAGAATGTTCCTTAAATACAGATGCAATGCTCGTCCCTTCCTCTTATTGTAAAACAAACAGATTTTTTAGATTTTAAACATATGTTAGTCATTTAGATATGAAAAGGATTGAACAACAGGCACAACCTATAAAAGCTCTCTCCATATTACATGTACAAGGTATATATGTATAAATCAAATATTAACAACTGTATTCAAAATAATACAATATAGTGGAAAATGCATGCTACTTATGAGCACACACAAGCAAGCATATATTTACAGTGTTAATTATTAAATGTAAAGTATATTTAAGTATGTAGTCAATTTATCATATTTTTTTTAAGTACCTTGAGGTATGTAAATATCTTTTATAAGTCATTAGAAATATGTATATAAGGTTTGGAAAAAAATGAATTGTTGAAGGAAAAAAGGAAACAAATGAGAAAATAAATACATAAATAAATAAATAAATAAATAAATAACTGAATAAATAAATAAATAGGTATAAACACTAAATAAAACAGAAACTAAGAAAAATTTCAAACAAAACGATGAGTGTCACTGATGTATTTTTGAACAGATTTAAAAATAGCAATATTCATATCATATGAAAATAATCTGTTTCCAAAAAGTAATAAATCAATATTTGTGTCAATATTATCAACAATGGAGTAAATAGAATCCAGTAAAGTCTGTCTGACATCATTGTACTTAGGGAAAATAAAGAGGAAATGCTGGTTATCCCCAACAGGGTGATTACAGTTTGTACAAATAGTGTTTTCTGATAAGAACTGATTAAACAAATAAGATTTAAGCATTATTTCTGAGTTGACAATGACTTATATTATGTTTCCTTATCCCATAACTGAAAGGTTTAAATATTTCCTCAGTCTTATAAAACTTGTCCAATCCACTTCTGAATATACACAAACTTAGAAATGTTTGTATACTTAAAGGAAAACTATTCAAAAGTCTTATAGTGGAAGGAATGAAACTATGAAAGTAAGAGCTAGTTCTAGGAAGAAGAGGGTGAAAAGTATTATTTTCATTTCTCAAAGTATAAAGGGTTTGTCCAGGAAAAAATGGCTGAACTAACTCATATAAGTATGCAGGTGTCATCCCATTTAATATTTTATAAAACAGAATAACCTTATGTTTATTTCGTCTATTCTCAAGAGTTTCAAGTCCTAATTTAATATAAAGTTTTTGTCTAGAGGAATTACGCCGTAGTCCAGTAATTATTCTAGTAGCTTCTATTTGAATATTTTCAAGAAGCTCAGACTCGTGGTGGGAACAATTTCCCCAAATAACTCTAATATAGGTCTAATAAAAGCATAATACATACGTATGAGTGAATTCCTGTCTAATAAATGTCTAACCTGTCGTAGCACAGATAAACGAGAACATGTTTTTTTATAAATATTATCAATATGTGTGTTCCAAGAAGCTGATGACTGAAATGTTATCACAAGATGACAGTGAATATTTATTTTCTCATCCTCTTCACCATTCCCATCATCCCAAATAATACAGGTGAATGCTCAAATATTGTTTTCTTTGAATTAAATTGAACAGCCCATGATTTTGCCCAATTTGAGATAACATCTAAGTCATCAGTCAAAGAAGCAGCTGCTACAGAATGATCATTATCTACTATAACAAATAAAGAGGTGTCATCTTCAAAAAGTCTAGTATCTTTACCAATGTCCTTTACTATTTCCTTTATATAAATGAGAAATAGAAAGGGTCTCAAAACTGATCCATGAGGGACACCTGCATGTATACTTCTAAGAGTTGATGAAAGCCTTCTGAAACTACCTTTTGTTGTCGATCTGAAAAATAACTTTCTATTCAAGATAAAAGCTGATCATTTAAGCCAGATTGTTTCAGTTTAAATAAAAGTCCTTTATGCCAAACTTTATCAAAAGCTCTAGATACCTCACAAAATACAAACCTTACATCCCTCCTACTATCCATATTACTGATAATTTTTTGATATATGTCAACTAACTGATTAACAGTAGCGTCTCCTGGTTTGAATCCAGATTGAAACTTTGACAGAAGGTTATTACTCCTCACATAATTATACAAGTGTTTGAAAAGAACCTTTTCCATAATCTTACACACGATACTAGTAACAGAAATAGGACGATAGTTAAGAACTGAATGTGGACTACCTTTTTCTTTGAAAGTAGGATTAACATGTGCAATTTTCCATAACAATGGAACCTGTTTAACTGAAAGAAACATATTAAATAATTTAGCTAATGGTTTAGAAACAAAGCTAACAACTTCTTTTAAAATTCTAGGACTGATACCATCAGGTCCAGCTGGTTGATTTATATTCAGAATTTTTAACTGGTCTAAAATTTCTTTCTCAGTGATGATGAATTTGTTTAAATGACATGAATGATGCTCATTACTATCAGGAATTTCTTGTTCTGTATCAATATTAGCTATATTAGCGAAATGATTGTTAAGGATCTCAGATTTGTCCAATGGATGAATAAAAATTTGGCCATCGTGTTCTAAAAGGGGTAATCTCTGCAATACGCCACCATTTACCAGGAGGAATATTTTTATCAATAAGTTGTGATGTCAGTTTGCACTTATAGTCATCTTTTGCTTTTCTAACTAAACTGATAATTTCATTACGAATTTCTCTAAAATTTTTCCAGTGATCTGGACTATGTGAAATTTTTGTTTTATGGTGAATGCTATTGCGATGTCTTATATTATTTCTAATAAAATTGTTCATAAATGGTTTATGGTTTGGTCGTACTGTAATACTTTTAGTAGGTATATATTTGTTGACAGTACTTTCAAAGTTCATATAAACATCATTTTATATTATTTGAGTTAAAAACTACATCATCCCAGTCAGTTTCAATCAACCGTTTTTTAAGACCCTCATAATCTGCACGTTTAAAATCACGAATTTGTCTTTTAAACGAGTGTTGTTTAAAAGTTTTAAATGAAATTTCAACTGAAATAGGAGAGTGAGAACTGCATATCGGAGTAAGAACAGTTACTGATTTAATCAAGTTTTTTTCGATTTGTCACACATAAATTAATACAAGTTCCAGCTAGGGTTGTAAAGTTAATAGGCTCCCAAACAAAATTTTCTAAATTTAAACGGTCAAGTAACTTTTTAAAAGAGTTACTTGTGTTAGACAACATATCGCAATTAAAATCACCACAAAGGAAAAGAGGCAAATTAAAATCAAATGCTTTATCTACTGACTCAATAAATAAGTCCTATATATGAGAATTTGAGTTTGGAGGCCGGTATACTGTAATTGTACTTATTTTCGCGGTGTATTTATTTTCTGGAATTTCGCGGTCGGTTTATTATCGCGAAAATAAATACACGCGAATCTAAATCCAACCTTTCAACTGAAAACTAACTGTTCATCTATGCATGTAAACTTGACCTTACATCGATGACATGACATGTTTACAACCCTGTTAATCCATTTAATAAACAAACTAGATTAATTAATATCAACCGGTGACAAGTAAAAACCAATTAAAGATCAAAGAAACAATAATGACTCGAGATTACCTTTTCTATGGTAGTAGTTATCGATTGATTTACAAACATGTGTGCATAGTAGCAGACATTGTTTTTGATTTCTCTTTACTGTAATCATTTAATAACAAACAAAATTGTAATTATGATAAGATTTTATGAAAATAAACAAGCGCGAAAAAGTACACACGTAGATTGTTTACAAATAACCAAAGTTACAAAATTTCCACAAAGTTTATCATTAACTGAGAGCGACTTCTGCTATACCGGTCTTAATGGACGAATAGGAGGCTGGTCTTTCTCCTGAATTAATTAACGTTTTAACATTTTGAATTAAACATGAAGAATGACCAACGAATGAAGTAAAATTGCAATCAGTTCAGTTATACCGGTAAACTTACTAGTAACTGTTACATTTTACCCAACGGCTATTTACGCATTTACTTAAATACATTATACCAGACGGCTATTTACGCCTTTACTTTTTATACAGTTCATATTGACACACGAGGCAATAATTATAGCTGTTAAGCAATTTTTTTATTTTTCTAGATTTTTTGGGAAAAATTCGCGAAAATAAATACCCGCGAACTGGTTTGAAATACACAATTCGCGAAAATAAGTAAGTACCCTCGAAAAAGTACAGTAATACACCAACTAAATTTGTTCATTACTACAATTCCTCACTTCAACCCAAAGTAATTCAAGATTACTTACGGATAGTTCATTCCGTACAATAACATGTAAACTATTTTTCACAAAAATGGTCACACCTCCACCATGTCTATTTCTATCTAACCTTATAGGTTTATGAAACACATTTGATTTAATTTGGTCATCATTAATCGACTTGTCGAGATGAGATTCAGATATACAAATAATGTCATACTCATTTCATTGTTAATGAGGTCTAATTTAGGAAGTAAACTGCACACATTATTGTGTACTATTTTCAATTTCTTTTTTTAACCTGATCTGGACCTGAATTTTGCTCAATTCCGAATATAAAAAATATAACAAACAGATGCCACAGAAGTGGGCATTCTATCCATAATGTATGTACAGTTATGTTATTTGTAAATTAGAAACTGAGATGTGTTTGTCTTTTACATCCTACAGTAAATATCAGGTACACTCCAGATACATAATCCGAATGTATACAATTGAGTACAAAATCAGCAAAATGTGCTTCAAACACTAGTTGTCCTAGTTGTCTTGGGAGAGTCGTAATATTTTTTTTTAAATGGCATATTTTTAAAATAAAATCATCATTCGATTCATACATCATTATATATCTGTTAGAAACTACATCAAGAACTGGGGGTAAAAAGCAAGTCATTCTTCAATAAAACGGTGGCATAGTTCCATGGATATATTTAATATGTGTAAATGTAGTATTTAAAGATAATGTAAGATAATTATAATCAATAAAGTAATATAATATCGAATTTGATTTTTATAATATCTTATATTGATACTTGTTCATACCTTTTGTAGAAGGAACGATTGTAACTGTTTGCGTTATAAAGACACCTGCACTGTTAGTCTTAGATGAAGCATTACCTATTCCGGTTCTTAAACTCCCAGTCGATGTCACTGAATTTAACAAAAGATTGGTTAATAAATCTAAAATAGAAGGTTCAGTTATAGCACTTTAGATTAGTTTTCATACAACACCATTACTTCACCTTTGAGAACAAAGAAATTTTTGTATTAATTGCAATTATCTAAAGCATAAAACACTTTAAAATATGATTTAAAAATTTTAAATCCGTCCATTAAGGATGTAAAGGTCTATGGAATTTTCTGTTATGATGGAGGATACTAGCCTACATCAATTCTTCTACGTGTAAATGACAGACAATCTATAATTTTGAGATATCATAATACTTAGAATTGGATTCACATCGTTTCAGTATCAGAAAATAAACATGAAAAACCTCAAAAGCAAAATGCAATTTGTGTAAATTTAAAGCAATTGTCAAGGTGTGTGTGGATTTTAACGATTCATGACAAATTGTCTTACGCACAAAAACACACCTGCAAAATATGATAAATTTACGTCAAAAGACTAATCATGTTCCGTCTCAGACAAACATACTTAAAAAGTGCGATCAATGATTTGACATTCGCATCAATGGTCAAAGTCATATGTATTTGAAGGAGATATGCAAACATCAAATATAGGGATATAACACTATCAAATTGATATAGCTGTATGAAATTAAGAAAATTCAGGGAAAATGATTGCGTCCTTTAATAAAGATTTACTAGAAAATAAGGTATAATGAGCTAAATTCAAGATTACATATGTGCTATGACTATTCATGACACATTGTCTTGGATACAGACCATTATGTAAAATCTCATATTCTACGTCAAACCATTTTTTGGTCCAGACAAACTTATATTACTAACAAAAAATCCCAGTGATTTGGCCTTTATGTGAAATCAAGGTCAAATCTCAGTAAAAGTGATACAACCACACGTCATATACTAGTATTTCTGTAACTCTTAATCGATAATTCCTTTTCCTGACCTGTTGATTATTTCTATTTAATCAATGTGTGGTTCGTTTGATCTCAGTTTTTCATTGTTAAAAATTCAATTATGACGTCATATTTTCTTGTTTTTATCTGAATTCTGAATTTCCTGTTGTGACGTTAGAAAAAGTGGCACCAATGCCTGATGACGTCATATAGAAAAAACACATCTTTTTTTGCAGAACATAGAAAAAGAAGGATTTGGTTTGTCTGCATATCGTCTAAAAATCATAAGAGAAACAGAATCCACCACGCAATCTCTTGCTATACGATTTTCGCCACTCTCGACAGTTGCATTTTAAAAATTTAAACACACTGTCTCGAGTTGAGAAATATCGTATCACATTCGATGAGTGGTAAAATCTATCTAAAAATCAGCATAAAAAAATGAAAAACTTCTAGGCCAGATATAGCTGTATGAGAAAGAACAAGAACTCGAAGTAAAAAGCATGTGATAGGGGAGGGTTGAGATCTGACAAAACATGTTAAACACTGCCGCATTTTTTGTGTCTGCCACAAGTCAGGAACATCTAACCTTTGAAAGTCTTGATTGTGTGTTTTTTTTTTTTAATTTTGGTTCATTTGTATGTTTCGAAGTTAAGTGTGGCGTCAATTTCGCTGAACTAGTATACATTATTGTAAAGGCGTCAGCTGAAACTCGCCTCCGAGTTCGTGATTTTCTCGCTGCGTTAAAGGCCCATTGATGGCCTTTGGTTGATTTCTGCTCTTTGGTCGGGATGTTGTCTCTTTGACAAAAAAGTAAAATCACTAAAATACTGAACTCCGAGGAAAATTCAAAACGGAAAGTCCCTAATCAAATGGCAAAATCAAAAGCTTAGACACATCAAACGAATGGATAACAACTGTCATATTCCTGACTTGGTACAGGCATTCTCTTATGTAGAAAATGGTGGATTGAACCTGGTTTTATAGCTAGCTAAACCTCTCACTTGTATGACAGTCGCATCAAATTCCATTATATTGACAACGATGCGTGAACAAAACAAACAGACATAATAGGTAAAAATGTCAAAAATAAAGGTACAGCAGTCAACATTGTGTTATAATCTTAATCAATATAAAAAAAAAACAAAATAGCTTTTTTATTATACGATTTTATCTATCTATGTTTAATCCACCCTTAAAGGATTGAAAGATTTTAAGTACTTGGACCGAAGCCTTACCTGACAGGCACATAGTTAGGTTAACATTAACTCTGACGTAGAATCGCGCGTTTGATATACATCAGTTCCCCGTTTTACATTCTATTTTTTCTTAAATAAAGTGGTAGCATACTACTATGTATATATTTGTAATATGTGTAAATGTTGTATATAAGGATAATACGACAGAACTAAAGCAATAAAATACAATGTCAAATTTGCTTTTTTTTTAAATATCTTGTCTCAATACGTGTTGATACCTTTTGTAGAATCAACAGTTGTAGCTGTTTGTGTTGTAAAGACTGCTGCACTGTTAGTTGTTGATGAAGTATAACCAATTCCGGGATTTAAACTCCCAATTGATGTCATTGACTCTAAAAAAGATTGATTAATCTTTATGCATGTCACTTTACAATTGAAGACAAAGGATTTCATGTCATACATTGCAATTATCTTAAAATATAATATAATATTATTGCATCTTAAAAAGCCACTTAATCAAAGCCCACATTATTTTGGAGGCAGTACATTAAAAAATACAATTAAAAACTTAAATCCACAAATCCTTCCTTAAAGGATCTAAATGCTATTATAAGTATATGTTATGGCGAATGGTGCTTGCTTACTTTCTCATCTCCCCATCGCGTTCTCTCTAGTGTAAAAGGCAAATAATCGTCCATTATAAGATAAAATAATACTAGAATTGGATACACCTGCGTTTCGAAAAACAAAATAAGACACGCAAAAAGAGCTAAGTAACAAAATACAATTAGTGTAAATGGAGGTTTAATGTCAAGTGTGCATGTGGATTATAACAATTCATGACAAACTATCTTATGGACAAAGTCACACTTTCAAAATATCTTGAATCTACATTAAAAAAGGTACAATGATTTGACAGTCGGTCAAAGACATATGTATATCATGGAGATGTGAAAAACATTGATACGACCATATCAAAAGATGCATATGTACGAAATCAAAAAAAAAAATGAGAAAATGATTGTGTTATAAAGAAATTCTCTGCCTATGCCATAATGTGAATTAAATGTTTTGAATTATGTGTTTCATCAATATGACTCGGTATTTTGATACAATTCTACAAAGAAAAGACTTATGCATTTATACTTTGCATCGTATTTATTTATATACCTTAAAACAAGAATAAATGTTTTGTTCAATAAATAACTGTTTTAGTAAAGATATTTTCATGAAACATTTTAGTCTGAACAGACATAACGCTTAATTATACTTACACAAACAAGTATGTCAATATCAAGTATACATTGATGTAAGAAAATCAGCTCCAGGTATTACAAATAGATCAGGACAAATTTTTAATTCAAAAAGATAACGAAAGGACGGATACAGTAAACACTATATGCCCCAGCCACTTAACACTTTAAGGTAATGTCATTTAAAGAATTGACACATACTATAAAAAAAAATCAGCATAAAGGCCTATACATTGCAATTGAATATTTTATCCAATACGTTCGTGTCAGACCTTAACATTTCATTATACATAAAACTATGTAAAATATGAAACCGACGGAGATTAAATGAAGAGCACAATTAGTGCTACTGTAGTTTATAGAATTTCATATCTCGTACATCGAATAGGAAGAAACAAATCAAGGGAAAAAAAACAGAAACAAAGGAAACCTCACGAACTCCATAACGAGCGAGACCGGGTGCATCGACAGGGCAAGCGTATCCATATATACATGCGTCACCCGCCACGGAAATTCATACTCAGCAAAATTGTCACAACCAATGATAGGACTCAAACGGTAAAATTACAGACGTGTCGTTTAAAAGTTGAGACATCAACACATCAATTTGGTCGCAGTTCATTGAACTTTAACCAATTATAACCATGATATATGTACAGTTATATTATTTGTAAATTAAACCCTGAAAGGTGTGATTCTCCAGTAACTTTCAGGTTCGATGAAGATATAAAAGATGATCCGAAAACATACAGCAGAGAACCAACCCAGTCAATTTCGCATCAAGCCATTATTGTCTTTGGGAAGTCGCAAATCTAATATGATAAATGGTATTAATTATACTAGTAATAGAATCTCTAACTAAAAAAAGAGGTAGAAACAATTTTCCCTCTATAAGCAAACTACTCACAATAAAAAGCTATTACTATGACTTGACTATACGTGTTGCTGTTTACCTTTACCTATTGCTCAACCAGATTGTAAAATTGACAATACAATTGGGACATTTAAATTGACCAGTTGGGATTTTTAGAGTTGAGTCTATCTTGATGCTCCCTGTACTGTTTTTATTCACTTAACCCAACCTTACAGCATGCTTTTTTCCTGATTTTTTTCTTCACCTAGGGTTATTCTATTATAAAATTGTTAGGGAGGAAAATATTATTGGTTTTTATTGTTTTGAATCCCCAATAAAGATGACTAATCTAATTTTGACCCAAAAATCTAAATCAGTAAAATATTTACTTAACTGCATATTAGTTTGTATGAGAATTAAAACTGTTTTACATAATAAATGAATCTTTAAATTTTTAACCCTTATACATAGTATTGTCAATGAAACAAGAAATAGCTATTCAGGTGTTTTCAGTTTCAGTTTTCAGATGGATACGTTATACATTTCTTCATATATCCCATCAAACTTTTCCCTTCGGAGTATTATTTGAAGTGTTTTAAATCTATTTGAATCAATGTGCATAAAATATTTGGATTCATTTTATTTGAATTCACTTCTTTGATGCCCTTCAGTTTTGCTTCTTTAAATGTTACTTGTTTTTTTTTACCTCAAGAATGGATTGTCATGAATGTATCAAGGAGGAAATAATTCATTCAAACTGTTTTAGGTTGCTTTCACATGATGATGTACATGTAAAATTCGAAATAATTTTGGAGTATATAACGCAGTGTTTTTCTTTGAAATCTATTACGCTTTTTGTGCACAAATTTACTGTGTTCACTCAAGGGGATTCCCTTTTTATAAAATGGGATTTAGTTGATCTAAAAGGTAAAAAAAGATTCAAAACTGGAGTGGAAGAAGAAGAAATAAGTTCTCCAACATGTCTCTGTGGCTTTAAATGTGATTTTAAAAGTAATCTTTATAAAATTTTGGATCTAATATGAAGATGATTCACCTGTTTAAACGGTATATATATCATGGAAATGAAATAAAATGTAAATACAGTGGAAATTAGTGGAATATAGTCAAAACCAGTGATAAAGTGAAAAATAAAAGTAAAATATTCCAAAAAATATAACGTGAGGATAATTATTTTGAAAGTGATTTTGGAAAAGTGTGACCATAATAAAATTCAAGAGTTCATATTGTTTAATTGAGATATATATATTATGGGAAATGCAATAACAATTAAAGTACTGTGGATATAGTAAAATCAAGTGATATAGTGAAAAATATTCTAAAAAATTTGTAAAGTGAGGATAAATATTTTGAATGTTATATTTGAAATTATAAAAAAATCATAAAATTCTAGATGTCATTTAAAGACTCTGCACATCTTTAATTGGGATACATATCATTGGAAATTGAACAGAATACTGTGGATATAGTCAAATCTAGTGATACAGTGAACAATGTAAGAAATATTCCAAAAAGTTAATAAAGTTAGGTAAGTTATCATTTCAAAATAGTGAACCTGGAATACTAGATAGGATATCAAATATCAGTGTCAATTAATAAATAGATAAATAAAACAGGTTATTCTATTAAACTATTATTTTTGATATTTAACTATGCATACGGTAAACACTTTGTGCAAGGCTCATGTCAAGTATTGAACAAATGTCTAAATGAAGGAATGCACACATTTGTTATGGTGTTTATTAATCATGGAAAATTCGGGAAATTATAAAATAATCAAGATTTTCACAAGGGTAAAAACAAATATTTTGAGTTATCTTCCATTAGTAAAACCGAAAGAGATGGAAGAAGTCTTTTCAACAATATAAAAGAAATCCGAGCACTCATAGTATTTGGCTATAAAAACATTAAGAGGAAAGGTAGTGCATTATACGACATGCAATAAATTACCCTGCAAGAAAAAAAACATATATACATTCTTGATCTGGCTTGCTCACTCCTAAAATTTGAAATAACAGTAAAATATAAATCTCTCTTTTTTCCTTCAACATGTTGTGTTTCTTTGGCAGTTATATGGCAAATTAATTAAGAAATACATTCTTTTAAATGAAAAAAGACTGTAATTATAATGTTTATTTCTTGTTTTAGTATTCCCGAATGAAAAACATGGGGAAATGAATTTGCTAAAATATCAGTAGTTATTTTCAGAAAATATTAAAACATGAAATGACTTTGCATCTTGTGGTCATACTCTATCTTTATTCATACTATATATATATTAATTTAAAATGCATACGGTAAACACTTTGTGCAAGGCTCATGTCAAGTATTGAACTCTCTAAATGAAGGAATGCACACATTTGTTATGGTGTTTATTAATCATTGAAAATTCGGGAAATTATAAAATAATCAAGATCTCCACAAGGATAAAAAAAAAATATTTTGAGTTATCTCCCATTAGAAAAACCGAAAGAGATGAAAGAAGTCTTTTTCACAATATAAAAGAAATCCAAGCACTCATAGTATTTGGCTATGAAAACATTAAGAGGAAATGTAGTGCATTATACGACATGCAATAAATTACCCTACATAAAAAAAAACAACATATATACATTCTTGTTCTAGCTTGCTCAGTCCTAAAATTTGAAATAACAGTAAAACATAAATCTCTCTTTTTTCCATCTTTATGTTGTGTTTCTTTCTTAATTAAGAAATACATTCGTTTCAATGAAAAAAGACTGTAATTATAATGTTTATTTCTTGTTTTAGGATTCTCCAATGAAAAACACGGGGAAATGAATTTGCTAAAATATCAGTAGTTATTTTCAGAAAATATTAGAACATGAAATGAGTTTGCATCTTGTGGTCATACTCTAGCTTTATTCATACTATATATACTAATTTAAACCTTTAACAATATAAAGACTTATTATTTTTTTTTAAAAAACTAACATTTATACAACTATAAAATACGAATTTCGGATAATTTATTTTTTATTCCTCAAATATAAAAAGATATTGTTATGTTTTAGATTTCACATTAAATCATACAAAACAAGTTATTTTTAAATCACGTCATTTGGATTGTTGGAAAAATGTCTTATTGGCAACCACACCTCGTCTCCTAATTTCATAATGCGTTTAAGTCTGCAACATATAAGTTACTAAACATAAAGACCTCATAGAACTCATTCATAGAATTTGATTTTCAGTTCAGGAAAATACAATTGCTATTTTCGTCAAGTAAAACTGTGCAGATATAC